TAATGTACAGTACATCAGTGACAACAGTAAGAGCTTCAGACTAGATTTCATTTTGAAAAAAATCATATTACTAAATTACTAAATCATTTATTATTCCTTACTTTCACTTCATTACTAAACTATAGCTCAATGCCAATGCACCAGCAATGGTGAAATAATTCTGTGTTTTGTACTAGTGTAATATAATTATATTTAAATCATTTTAAAAAAGCATTTAGTTTCTACCAATATCCACGTATTTTTTTAAAATCTAAAATGACCCTCAATATGAATGTAAATAAATGAGCTAGTAAGGTATTTTTTATCTTAATATATTGCTCTGGCATTTATATTCACTTTTATTCTGGCTTTCAGATTCAAATATCTACATATAAATGGCATCAATCTCAGCACACACTATTGCAAACCCAGAATAAAACAAAAAACATCAATTCAATGCATTACTGAGTATATAAAGCAAAGGCACTTTATTTATTTTTGTCAGTAATATATGCCTTACTGTATATAGTTAAAAGACTATTTTACACACTCACAAGCTACCATGAAGAAGTTGTTTTTCAGTACTGATACCTTACTAATTATAAAAAATTAATACATCAATATTGAACATTAAACAGTAATCATGACCAAATAAAGTTTTCTATTTAAATTTCTATTTTTCTATTTTTTTCTATTTAGTTTTCTATTTAAAGCAGATATCTAGCTTGTTCAGATTGTACCCACTAAAAGAACATTGCTGCACAAACTCCCTGGAACCTTACCTTAACTATTCTTTATTCATAATTCAAACTGTCATTGCAAGGTTCACGTTCTTCAGCTTTCATTAATATATCCTTTGCTGCATTGAATCAGTCTCGTTTTGCAAGTGTAATTTAAATAATTATGGAAATGTATATTTTTTTAGTAAGGAGTGAAGTACAATTACCCAGGATAATAATTGCAAACTTCTAGACAATGAAAGGAAAATGGCTGATGTTATAAATGAATATTTCTTTCAGGAAATATCCAGATACAAAGAAATTGCCTACATTAAAATAACAAAACCTTTTTTGTGCTGAACACAGAAGACTAAGACGGGGGCTAATTCAAGTATTAAAATCTTCAAATGAATTGACAAAGGCACTGAACTTATTCAGACAAATGGAAATTATAAGGAGGTGCACTTAAAGCTGATAGTAGGAGGCACTTAATTACTCAAAAGTTTTCTGGGCATCCGGAACAAGGTATCCTACCACGTTGTGAAAGCTGATACCCTGGCGTCTTTCAAGAATGTGATCCTTGGATCAATTACCTTCTAGCAACACAAGGGGTTGTGGGACTAAGAAATAGGTAAGCCACACATGATGTTGAGGTTAAAACCCTAGTTTCTTTAAAGAAATGGCTGGATGAGGCTTTTAGTTACACATAAACCAACAGAATAGACAGGTCCTCTTGTTTTTGAACATCTTTCTGATGTTCTTATGTAAAACAAACAGTGACTTGTTTTAACCTGTTTCACATTTATCTTTTTTAACAAATGGTGGGTTGACAATATATTGGTCATCACCAAATGAAAGGTGTTTTGCCTCCAGTTTTTCACAGTCTGATTATAGTTTTAAATACTCTGTTCCTCTTCATGTAGAATGTCCTGCTCAAATGTCACCTTACTGCAAGCTAAATGAATGGGAACAGTACTGATGATCAATCAATGTCCTCTCATCCCATTTGACTTGATGAAATTAATCTCTGGGTGTTTCCAAGCAACTGAGCCTTCAGGCCAGTCCCTGACTGGTCATACAGTGTCAGCTCACAAGAGATTACTGTGGCACGAGACAGTTGATCAATTCTAGCTGGTATTAATTCCTGAGCCGCTGGGAACATTACATTAAAAAACCAGCAGCTTATTTGATTTCATGGAATTCAGGTGACAGAACTGAGGCAGGGATAACTTTGCAATATGAAAGTAACAAGTCTTTTCAAAGAGGTCTATCATCCAAGGAAAGCCTTCTGGCTCTTGCATTGTTGGCCAACTCAGCCTTTGGCTTTTGTAAATCAGGAGTTGATTGTTGCAAGAAACACTATTTCAATTCTCAGTTTCAATTAAATACTGCAACACTTTATATGAAACCTTTTCAATTTTTTCTGTTGCTGTTTTAAATTTATGAAATATTCCTATTCATATGTACTTACAGTACATATTAGTCTTGGAGCATATTTACCCATGAAATGTTCTGCTTTTTATAGTATACATTTTTTGTACTACAGTATACATTTTGATGTATGTTTTAAATATTACTTATGAACCTTCTTTATTTGCTTAACATTATGAGTACTAAAGATACTTATTACATTGTTTTGAGATTTTGGCCAGCATAATTTGAGAGGTGAAAGCTGATTTGAGTAACTAGACACAGCTGTGTGGATATATATTTAATTGTGTTTGATTTTTGACATAATGCCTTTGGTTATTCTTTTACTGATGGACAGAGGCAGAAAGGCAAAATACATAACTGCAGCGTCCCTGAGATATCTTGTGTTTCTCAAGACTTTTACCTCTTTTGTAACATTTTGACAGGTTTTGTTCTTTTTTGCTGTGAATCTTAGAATCTTTAGATACAATCACTTCATGTTAAACTAAATGTCCTTTTCATTTCTTACCTTTTCAAAGAGTGGTAACCTTCTCACAAGAAAGAAACAAATCCAAAGATTAACCCCTTGAAATATAAAATAGTGAATTTTTGTGAACTTCATTGACTCTAAGCCTCTGTTCACCTGTCGGTCATCTTGCCTCTTGCAGTAGTTTACCCCATATTCAAATCTCTATGCAGTGGTATTCCTGGCTCTGCTTACGTAGGCTTTGAAGTAGTGTGGTAATTTCTGATGGGCTGCCAGACAATCAATGGTATTATAATATGGTGATAGACAACATTTCATTTTTACAAAGAATCTATTAATCCATAGTGTATAATTAATTATTATAAAGCCACTTTTCCCTTTGTTTCTATAATTAGTTCCAATACTGTAGATTACTTCACATCATCGCTATACCAATCACTTGCAAAAAGGATAGGGAATTAAGTACGTTTAATGGTTTAGATTATGAGCAGTCTCTGAGGGGCTGTAATTACCAGCCCTGGAGGCCTCATGCTGAGTATCCTTCTATTGTAGTAACACATAAATCCAACACCAGTTCTTTCTGGAATTAAACATCTAAGGTATTGGGAAGACATTGGAATTTGCTAAAACAGATGTAATTTTATTTGCCCAATTAAAGTATAAAACTATTATGTTTTTTTTTATGAGCCTATAAGAAAATGCTAAAAAACAAAGAAAATTTCAGCCATGTCAGTCTGATCATTTTAAGCATTGACATGGTTGTGCAAAGAAAGATAAATATATTTTCTTCAGTTATCTATGAACGCAAAAATCAAAAGACTCACAGTATTTTAATATATTAATTAACCTGACAATGTTTTGTTATCCTAGCTAAATATTTAGCAATGTACAGTATATACATGTTCCACACAGTGTGCTAGAGAGACACTTTGTAGTAAAAATAACATAAGAAGGCATGCAGAACTTCAGACATTGGGAATAATATTGCATTATGTTATGCATTACATATTTACAAGCTTGTGTGTGTGCATGTCCATAAAAGTAATACAATGAAAATTAAATTTGCTTGTTTTGCTATTTCTATTATTTTTATGAAAACCACATGCCAATTGCAGATTTTTATTTAAGTGGTGAAAAATATCAGCATGAAGATTAACTCAAACAACGGAAACATCAAATAGCGATTAAGCTTTGCATCTTCCAATCATCTGTGTTCCATTGAAGTATCTGCCAGCTACAGGGGTGCACATTTTAATCCTGTTCTGGTGAAGGAATTTCAGGCATCACTAGATGTCCAATTACTCCTTAAGCAAAACTGAGTTTTTTACTGTATTTTCTACTCAACTTTCTTCCTGTTTCCTACACTCAATACAAGAGATCAAACCCACTCATTTATGAAGCAACTGCTAGCAGAATATACATCTGTCAGCTTAAACTGTCAAAGAATCATGTTTTACAGTACATCTTTTATGAATAGTACACAGTGCCTGTATCTGGGATACATGGATACATTATGATTTTTTTTTCCTTTAAGAAGGAGTGCTAATTCTGTGTGTAAAGGATTTAGCTTCTACAATAAACAAAGAAATGGAGGGAATAAAATAAAAAAGGAATAAGCAGTTTATAGCAGTGATAATCTGTTTCCTCTCTCCTAGTCATCTATCACAGCAAGGTTAAGCAATAAATACTTCAAGGGCTTTGTACTAAAGTGGAATCTGCAGCAATTCTGTGGGAAATGGCATTTAAATCTTTTAATTTTAAAACAACAAAAAGGTGACTGATAACTATAGATATAACTCTTTGTACATGGCATGGGGAAATTTAGTCACTCCTTTGCATTTTATTAAAGTTATCTTTAATAATGCAGTTCTTAAGTTCTCTGCTAAAGCTTTCCCAATTACAGAACATACAATATTCTCATTCAAAAGACAGAAGCTGCAAAAAATTAATTGAGGACCAATACAAATATATCAAAGCTGACAAGTAGGGAGACGCCTGTTGAGCACTGTTTAATATTTCTTTTAATTGGGTAGCAGCTGCCTTTTAAAAACAGAAAACCTTGATTCTGCTGGATCATTTTTTTGTGTAAATGAGGTTCATGCAAGGAGCAACATGCATTTATTATCTGTCTATAGCTGGGGTAAAACACAAGAAATTAGCGACCAATCTGGATTGAAGTGTATGAATGAAACTTTCTGTTAAATGCAAAGCAAGTACTGTACTAATAGTATTATTTATTGGTAAAGTGATTGACGGTCTTTAGTTAAATTAGGTAATTATGTTTTAAAAGTAGGTTAGATAAGACATTTTTACTCGTCAGTTATTGAGAAACAGCAGGAGTCCTTACTTCAATGCCTTAGAAAATGAATTTTTGAAGAAATGAAGAATGAATTTTTCATTCTTACCTGATGGCATATTTCATGTACAACAACCATTGTGAGTTCCATCAAATAGGAGATTGACGACACTTCAGGATCCAAAAGGAGTTTCTGTTCCACAAAGACACTGAGCCCCCAGTTCTCCATTGCAGCATAAGGGTGTTTAGGCACAGCTAGAAGATCTGTAAAAATGAAAAAAAAGAAAAAAAGTTAAATTGATAAAAAAAACGTAATCCCTATCTTAAATTCACAGGAAAGATTGTCACAGTATCAAAGTCCATACATTCAATCAACCATTTTTGTATTCAAGCAATCAGCATTTGAAAACAATAAAAATACACAGAATAAATCCATTTTAAAAGCATTAAATCACATTGTTAGGTTTAGAGCTTATTAAATCTCTCAGCATCTTAGAATTCATTTTCCAATGTATGGTTTAGATACTTTGCAAAGGTTTTATAACTGTAAAATGACAGAATACTCTTTTGTTTTTTCTCTTCTAAAAGAAAGATTCAACTGTAAAAATCATGTAGAGTGATATTTAGGTTTCATTATTTTTATATATTCTACAGGGCTCTTATTTGCAATTTGAGGTATTTTTTTTTTTAATTTGGTGGTTCAGATATTATATTCCAAGTCATAGACAACAGGATATTTTGCTATCAGCCTCAAAATTATACCATCCGTGAAAAGGGAGGGAAAAACATTTAGGAATTTGTCAGCCAGATTTAAACGGTATCTGGCTTGCTCTTAAGATGACAGAAAGCCTTGATTATAAAAAATGTTCATGGTTAAACAGATTTAAGCACTGTCACATTCATTTTTGCTTCTTTGCTGAGTGAAAAGAAAAGGATTTCACTTTATAAGAAACCTTTAAAAAGTCATGTTAATAAAAAACCTAACCAGGCTTTCATTTAATTACCATCTTGAAATGAGTTTCACTCTGAAATAAAAATCAAACCATCATGCTCTAAAAACATGCTTCAATCAAACCTCAAAGTCACTATGCTGACAGTGTTCAATGAAGTTTATAGGCCTCTTTATTCATTTCCCCGCATGGTCCCTGCATTGGAAACAGCTCTCATCATACTACAGATATTTCTCAATTAGCTCATAAATCAGATCTGTGCACATTTTGGCATCATGTATACTTTGCGATATATTATCTTTACACCTGTACCCACTTCACTGAGTATGTCACCTACTGAAGGACTTTCCTTGCTTAAGCAATCAATTAGTCAATAATTAGCAGCTTAAAGTAAAGTAAAATTCCTGGGAATTTATTTATTATTTAGTCAATTATTTTGTACTGTAGATTTTTATGGCCCTTTAAGGTAATCAATTAAGAAATTGTGGAGTTCTAGATGCTGCTGACTCAGTTGCCAAAGACTTTTTGGTTACTAAGATTACTGGGGCCACACAAACTGAGGTACAGTATGATGGGCACTGTTTGGAAAGGTTTTATCTAGCACTAGATCGTTTTTTTTGTCTTGCTACATTGTCTTATATTTCATTTTTGGTGCCTACTTATGTCCTTTTTGTTTGCCCATGAAGCATCTGCCTGTCTGAAATCTTTCCTTGTTTGCCACCCTGACTCACTTGCCTTTCCTATGAATGTGCTGTCTATGCATGTTCTGTTTTGACTGCTCTGTTCTTCTGGGGCTGCACAGAAAGTGTTTTATGGAAAAATTAGTAGTTTGAAGATGAACGATTTTATCAAAATTAGAGGGAGACTTAATTATACAGCAAGTACAGTTTTATACAGCAAGATATTTTAAGATCTCAGAGCTATACTTTGAGAAAGGGATAGTTGTAGCGAATTGGGATAAAACATTTGCTAGCTATCACTAAGAGTCTTATGCAAAGGAATGATGGGGATGTGCCAGATATTAAAGTAAAGCTTTTGTCTACACTGAATTTTCTGCTTTCCACACCTTCCTAATCCTAAATCACTGTGTGATGATTTTTAGAAAATTAATGTTTCCATTTCCTTGTTACAAGAAGAAGTAGAAAAAACTGAGGAGGGATATAATGTATAGATCACTGCCCTTTGTGGGAAATCTGTTCCAGACATACTGTATATACTGGCAACAAATTACTGTGCATGTTCCTTTTCTTCTGCACTGAGGGGTTGTGCAGCAATTCCAAGTTTGCAAAGCCTATTTTGACATACAGTATAGACCAAAATATATTATAGACCAGTTTTGCCTGGTAGGGAGGGAGCTGTTCATGGTGTGGGACATCAGACCCAAGCTGCATGTTCCATTGTCCTTTTAATGGTGTTAATTAAGAGATTAATTAAGAATTCACCATACTGTGTGCGTAATATAATTTGTAATATTTTACAAATAATGAGAAATGATCATTAACTAGAAATTAGAATAATTTATAATTATCAATTATATAACTAGAAATGTTTGTCATGACTCCAGATAGGTTAGCCCCTGCTGGTGACTTACTTAACAGAAGTAAAACCATAAAGGCCTGGAAATACACATCCTCTGTGTTTTTGCCAAAAACTCACAAATACACCAATATCTGACAGTAATAACTTTATTGTAGTTAGGGATTAACTTCCAGCCCTTGCTGTGTTAGAACAGGATGTTTTGAGAAGGAGACTTCACTTCTTTTGAAGTTTTGTCATTTCACCAATGCCTTCTAGGCACTGTACAATGATTGATTACAACCCTTTGCACCTAACTTTATATTGACCCCCCCAGTTTTATTATGTTTGGCATTTCTCCTGTCGAATTTCCTACAGTTTTGGACAGGATGTGGGGGGGGGGGGTCAGGCTTCAGATGGGAAGCTTGGCTGTGTCCATTTCTGTTTGAAAGAAAGCAGAACAGCTGTGGAAAACAGAGAGTGCAAGAGCATTTGCAAGCATATTTGTGATAAAAGGGAAAAAATGACACAGTATCTATTAATAAGAACAACTTTTAACACATTTAAATATAGATCGTTTTGGATGTATCCTTATGTTTTTTGTAATGTGTGTACAGACCATTTTATATAATGTATGGTTGTAAAGTTTTTGACATTTTTCATTAATCTTTTTCTTGGTGAGTCTATATAGTCTTTAAAAATTATAAATTGAATATGCTCTGAAGGAGAAACATTATCCTTGCATGAGTTCTTTGTGGGCTGAGAAATCCGTTGGTAATTAACCATCAGTATTGATTTGTTTAGATACTTCACCTGTTTTGCCTATCATTGAGAACATAGTAATTCCACCCTTTATGCTTATTAACTGTTATATTCTTGCTGATAAAATATTAGCAACCCTTAGTATACTGAATAGCTTCTGTCAGCAGCAGGTGCTGTGATGCATGCTTAGTTTAAGGATTACAAACTTCCATTAATTTTCCTGATCAGAACAGTCTTCATTTCTGCATTTCTCAAAACAAAAGGCACTGAAGGAACTCAAAATTCTATCCCACACAGCATTACCATCAACGCAACTTCCACAGAACATACTGAAATTATGCTAGAAGAATGGAATGGGACTGGATTGAAATAATTTCACAACCTGGTAGAATATGATACCTACTGCTGAAAGCACTCTGGCAACTTCCAAGCATGATTGGGGAGGGTGGGAGGGTCTTAATATCTGGGTAAATAAGTGCACTTATGAGAATACCTAACATTTAAGTGTAGAACAGAGTTGAAACAAGGTCAATACTTAATGGAAAAAGCATACTACTAGGAGAAAATTAGAAAATGTCAACTCGGCGTTCACAGAAGTGACCACCCTTTTGAAAATAACCTGCACAACTGAAGTGGAGAGAATTTTGCTGTGCATATGCACATTATGGAGCAGATGAAAAATCGGGCACCTCAGTCTTAAACTTCAAAGATCACAGAAGAACAATTTATAGAGGAAAGAACTAAAAATCCTAAAATTGTTCTTTATTAGGATTTCTCAATTCCAGTCCAAAAGCAGAATTTGTTGTATTCCTAATGTGCATCATGAGGTGAATACATATTTGGATTGAATACTGATTTGGATCAGGCAGTTTGAAGCTAAAATACTAAAGTTCATTGACTGGTACACAGAGTAATAGTGCTCTTGGCATATCAGCGCAGATTAAAATTACATTGCGTACCCACAGATGGTCAGTAGCAGTGTTAATGATTTTATTTTAAAATAATTTGAATTCCCTCAACCATGGGTTTCCTACTCATATCAAATATAATAAACATATATCGTATGGTTATATTTTATATAATATATTTAGAAAAAGGGTTATATTAAAATATCCTGTCTCAAAAACTGTATTCCCTGATTGCAATTATATGTAAAATTTTAACAATGGCTTGGTTTTCTACTTTTTGAGAGGAGATGGATCAAATGATTTTGGAAAAAAAGCCATCTTAATCGCAAAATGGAACAAAATCTGGTTATGTTCATGATTTAGTTTAAACCAATGGCTACTCCTCCCACCCATTTCCAAGATGGAGATAAACCCTGTGATTCAGATGTCAAAGATAACATTTCCTGAATGAAAAGAGGTTTAAACCACCCTGCATATCTGTGGGGTGACAAAATAAGATCCTAAAATAACTGGGAATTCTATGCACTTATGCAAAATATGTTGTGCACTTTTTTTTAAAGAAACAGAATTAATTTTATCTACTTCTCCTGCTGTTATCTAGGCTGGCATCCAGCATTGAAGCTATTGCAACAGAAAATGAGTAGTCATTTTTAAGTTCTCAAAACAGGCCATTCTCTTTGCAACTACCTGTAGGGTGAGTGGGAGTGGCAACCTTCTGAACAGAGGTTTAGCACAACCCTCAGATGCACAAACAAGTCTTCTGTGTAACCTTGGCCCTGAAACATTACTTTCTTTTACAAAAATATAGGATTGCACTTTCGAACTGCCCAGACGTGAAGAAACTAAAGCAGATTACTATGAACATTTCAATTCAGACCAATACAGTGTTATATCTGAAGATCAAATGGATTGTTCTTAAAGTTTGCTTCTGCAAAACAAAACAATTCTTTTGCTTTGCAGATTTGTTTACTGGTACATTGTCAAATCAATAGTCACTGCACATTATTTGCACTGCTATCATTAACCACAGAGAGCCTCAGAGCTCAATGTGCCGTGAGTCCCTATGGTATGAATGCAGATGATCCTTTCAATAATGTTGTCAATTTATAATAATAAAAAAACTAATCTA